TGGAGTTCAGACACACCCTCGAGACCAGCTTTTGAATAAACTGGCTTGATAAGAGGAGGACCATTTGACAAACTGAGCTCATTCTCAAATTTATCAGCCAGATTTGAAAGATCTCGGGGGGGAAAAAAAAAGCACGTCATATCCATTGAAATCCTTCCATATGAACTTTTAAAACCCAGCACTAAAGAGTAACTAAAATTATTAATTTAAAATCTCCCTTCGCAATCCGACTCAAGAGAATGTTGCGTACACAATTAACGACGACAGTGCTGTGTCAAACCAACAAGATCTTGATTTGCTTTGGAAGACAGAGGGCTCGAAACAGAGATGGCTTCACAGTTCAAGGGCAAGATCGAGACACCAGGTGGGATGAGTCTGTTGAGACACAGGTACGAGACGCCCGACACACCAGGTCAGCATGCCAGCACCCTGCAGGAACCACCTGCGAGCACCACGGGACTCTGCAGTAGCTGCACATCCCCAAAAGACCCTGCTGCTCTGTTCCCCTCCTACCAACATCTCCCTCTCTGTCTTGTGTGTGACTGAGCCCTTCGAAGGAACCAGACACCCCAGCTCTGAGCGCAGACCAGGGCACAGGAGAGGTTGCACACGAGGCCAGAGCCGCCTGGCGTGGCCAGGGCTGCGCTGGGTCAGGAGGTGCCCTTCAGCTACTGCATGCCTTGCTCATGAGGTCACTGCCATGGGCACACCCTTGAGTGAAATTTGTGTCACAGGGAACCTGTAGGAAAGGAGGGATAGTTTAATCTTAACGCTGAAAAACTCTTCTTCAAATCCGTGGTTGGAATAAACTTCCTAGGACCTGCCATACGGGTCTTGTTGTGAGGTGATGGAACAAAATGCAGGACAGTGCTCTTGAAGGGGAAGGATTTCACAATGAATCGGGACAATGTGCCTTAAAACAAGCAAAGCCTCACACTGCCACTCCAAAACGGCCTTCAACAGCCACAGAGCCACAGCAGGTGTGCAAAGTGACACTTCAGTAAAGATCCGAAATGCGTGTGAGCCTCGGAAAGGGAAGCGGTTCGCAAGCTGCCGTGTACTGCACATTGCTCGCTGAGCTGCAGACTTCAGAGGACTTCTCAACCTCAAGCTGATCTCTGCAGACAGCTGACCGGGTTTCAGAAGCTACTCTAGTGCTGCTGGCTTCGTTACAGGTGTTCTTAGTACTTACCAAGGGGAAGGAGAAGAGACGTTACAGGTCAGTTTGACACCACCATTGCAGCTAAAATGATTATTTTACTTTAGTGCTGGCGCACAACTTGTGCCAAGATGCTGGATCTACACAGACCAAACCAGGGCATGGAGATTAATCCTCACTAGTGCATCAAGCACTGGGGATTTCAATCCATGGGGATGTCCTGGTTTCACTGGGACAGAATCACCGAGTCAGCTTTCTGTAAAGGAACACTGCACTTCTGTAAGGCCTGCAGCACTCCATGTCATGGGAACAAAGCTGATCGGGCACTTTGGTTTAGTTTTCAGTCAGCTCTGGAATGCAGTGACCGAGGTCTTCAGCAGTTTTGAGTTAGGCAGGTGCAGAAGCTGGGAGAAGAGAAACCCAGGGCAGCTGACCCCAAGCTGGCCAATGTAAATTATTCCATACCACAAACACCTCGTCCACTTTAAATTGGGAGGTTTGCTGGGGCATCCTTGATGGATGCCATCCCAGGAGGGTCTCGCCTGTTGTGTTACTTCTGAGGCCTATTGCCCCACTCAGTGTGACCATCACAGTTTGCGACCACTGTATTGGCTGAGTATAACTGTGTACTTTATATTAATATTGCTATTAATGTTGGCATTTATTATTTTATTAAATCTGTTTCTATTTCAACCCATGGGTCTCCTTTTCTCCATTCCCCTCCCCAGGTGGGCAGGAGTCCTCGGGTGATAGCACAACTGTTCAAACGATGACAGTGGAGTAGAACCAGTAAGGACTTTTTTGTTTTTCAAAATAAACCCCTTTTAGGCACCTAAAGGGGCCAGATTTTCACCAGGACATCTCTCACTCCCAAGCAGCTTAACAGATAAAGCCAGCTCCTAAAGTTTTCTCCAGTTCTCATTAAGAGTAATGGAAGCTCCTGAGCAATTCTGAATCTTTCCACTTTGTTTAGGGGCATACGGGATCCCTAGGAAGGTGGATCCAGTTGAGGGTGCTTCAAAAAGTCCTGCTGAGCCAGTTCAGAGGGTAACGCTTCACAAAAAGGTTTGCTGTTGGGGGCCAGTTACCGTGCCAACACCTCTGGTATCGGTGACTGTGCCACAGGGCAAAGGCCCTTTTCTAGGTTTGGTGAGGACACAGACTGAGAGAAGTTGGTCTTTCCTCCTTGAAGTTTACAAACCAAGACAGAAATTAATTTGGCACTGATGTAAATGAAGGTTGTACCTGGGTCTGCAGCTGTCATGAGCTTCGCCCAGCGCCTGCTGCTCAGTCTTTCAATTTTCCTATCTGTGACAACCCAGGATTCGGGGTTATCATGGAAAACAGCGCAGCAAAATGGCCCAACTCGCACTACGTAAACGTAGCCCTGCGAGCCTCCTCCTTTGTCATAAATGCTCCGGATGTGAGTCTCAAACCGCACGCCAGCCTGAGAGCTGCAGAAGTGGTGGACGAGCATCGAGTCCATGGTAGCAGCTACTGTTTTTTCTACAGTTTCTTTGTCTACTTTACTGTGGCTTCCAGTGACTTTACTGTCATTGTCCACTCCATAAAATAACTAACCACCTTGCGTGTTTGCAAAGGCAGAGACATAATTCGGAAGGGTTTTTCTAATATATTACAAGATGTTCTCTATAGAGAAGCTCTTAAATTCAACATGTGTGGTCTCTGTGAAATCCAGGACCTCCCCAGCCATCAGTTTGTCTCTCTTTAAAGAGAGCAGCAGCATCCTGGATGTGCTCCTCTGCGTTCAGAGGAGTCTCCTTTGCTCCCCTGTCAAAATTCAGCAGAGCTTTCTCAGCGCTTGGCCCATTCTCATTGGTGCAGCTTTCCTTCTCCTGCAGAAATCTCATGGCATCGCTTGAAGTCATTGCAACAGCTGAAGTGAAAGACCTGCAGGACAAACCAGTGCTCAAGCTACAGACATGTGGCTTTGTAGCTGCACTTTCCTGCTCTGGACCTCCACAACTCCATGCTTTCACAAAAAGCAGCAAGCAACTCTGCTGCTGCATCCACATGAAGTATTCGCCAGTCTCAGTGCAGTCGATGCAGACCCTGAGGCTCTGCTCTATGTCCAGACCAGTGCCGCGCTCCTGGAAGCTGTAATTCTTGTCTTCGCTCTCCATCCTCACTATTGGTCCTCCTGAATTCAGGAACACACACACGGCTATAGAAAGCTTCCTTCGCTGCCTTTTCTGATTGCAAGACGTCTTCTTCCTGGATCTCTCTCCTAAAACTACTTTCCCAATATCTACCACCATGTCGGGATAGCTTGTTTTCAAATTAATCAGCAGCTGCCCTTTTTGGCTGGCCATCCTGATCCTGAAATGAGAAATCATTAAAAACACCTCACGGTGACACACGGTGGCATGGCAGAGGAAACCACGCCTTTGAGTCAGGCTTATGCGCTAGATTTAATAAACTGCAAAATATAAATCGTTATTTGCAACGCACAAGCAAATCAAAGACGATCAATTGCAAAGACACCCACGGAGGCCGCGTTAATTAACCTGATTTATTGGGCTCTTTTGCATGTTGGGCTCGAACGGTTCTCTTGAAGCTCCGTACTGTGGACGCTGCGCGACCTCGGCCATTCACAGCGGCGGATCCTACC